TCAACTCGCTTTTATCCAATAAGTAAATTGAATCACTAAAACAGAGTACTGATCTCCAATCATTTTAGCATTTTTTTCAACTTAAATTGTACAAAATTCACAAGCCAGGCCTCTTAAAGACAAAGTACTGCTGTTAAGTGAATAATTTTGAATTCTCTTCTGAGAATGTTTTTTTTCCTACTGCCTCTCTTCAGAAACCTTAATGAACTGAAACTGAAATGCATAAAAATATGTTTTGCTTGCTTACTGCTAATGAATTACATACATAATTAGGTAGAGACCAGGTGCATAGTATGACCTCACTAGTACCATTAATTTCTGCTACTTTGAGGATGTAGTGTAAACCATGGCAGGAAGAATGAGGCTGGTTTGACATTCATGAGCTGGTTAATCCACTGGATAGCATTCATGTGGAGAGAACGTGATTCTCAGAGTTCACTAAAGGCTCCAAAACAGCTGAAAACATGATTGAGACCTAGAATTGAGCTCCTTGAGAGACAAAAACAAACAAAACACACACAAAAAAACAACACAAAACCCCATACTTCCCAAAACCAGTAGTGTCCTCAATGCTATCGTTGCTCAAAGAAGCCTGAGATAAAAATCAAAGAACCTGCAGGCCCTTTAGATATGGGAGATTTCTAAGGCCCACCTGATATAACTGCCATTTCTTCTTCCACCCCCCCTTTCTGTACATAGGTTTCCTTGTATTTAACACAGTTGGAATTGTTTAAAGACAATTTTGGGATTTTTAATGGCTTGTGAGCCACAAGAGATCGGGCTGCTAATGTAGCAATGCCGTCTAGCTTTTGTAACTATGACTCCAATAAAGATAGCTAGGGAGATTTGTGTGATTTGTATGAAATAGTAACAAACACGCACTACAGAGTCTTTGTGCATTGCATGTAAAGCAACAGTGATATGCTCTGTATTTTATGCCATTAAATCTAGAACAAATGGAGGCAGTCCCTCGCAGATCTGGGAAAACCCAAGGCACCTGTGGAATACCTAAAACAAACTAAATGAGTGCCTAACTGTTTTACTTGCCCACAGGTCAATGCTAACAGAATTAGCAGTGATACAGAAGATGCAGGCATTCAAAACATTCTGAAGAGTCCCTCAGAAATCTCTAAAGAGATTTGAGAAATATTACAGCCCCGGAAGAAACAGGGATTGCCACACAGGAGTAGTCGTAATAGCTAACTCCCAGCATGGAGAGGCCAGGCTCAGCAAATTCCTTTCACCGTTACAAGAGAGGCAAGACAACACAGAGCAAGAATTGAGACACTGTCTGAAGTGCAGGGCACATGGATCCTCAAATTCCTTGCTGCACAGCCAGCTCACAGACAAATAGGGTACAGCTGCTGGGCTCTTCACAAGGGGATCCCCATTGTAGTTGAGAGATGCCCTGGGACCAAGAAGTACTACTGGCTTCCTGAATACAGAGAAGAGGCTTGCACTGTCATGTGGAAGAGCCAGGAAATTCGCACTGATTCTGGATGGATCTCAGGGCACCAACCACTGTGTAAGGTAAAAAGCAACAACTGCACACAGGTCTGTTTCACCACCTTTTGATGCTGAAGGACAGATCAGCAGCGCACTTCAGTAACAGCTGCTTAGTGCATCCTCATACACAGCTTTGTTTAAGTTAGCTAACAGTGACAGTTTTTCTGTCACTAACTCTTGCCTACACAGAAGCCAGAGGAAAAGACTCATTATTCACTCAGACAGCTTTGATAATATCCACCTTATGAAACCACAGCCACAAACAATTTTCACGTAAAGCTTTCAAGGCTGATTGGTGAATTCAATCAGACAAGGTCTTTCTTCTTGATAATGTAGTAGCAGTGGTTATTTCAGCTATAAATGCAGCTTTGCTGAATTAAAAGCATTTCACAGCCTATTCAGTTTCAAATCGGGATGGAAAAAAAAAAATCAAAACATTCTGTGAGGACAAAATGCAATGCCTTCATTTCCTGTTTTCAATCTGCTTGATTTTCTACTTTTTAAAATCATTTCCACAGGAAAAATATTAAATTATTTAGCATTATACTAACAATAGCACAGATGAAAGACATTAGTGAAATGAAATCATTCCTGCAGGTGAATAACATTTTAAATTAATTCTGTAGATAACCTCAAATCTTCAAGTGTCTGATTTAATTGTGAATAAAAAAAAAAAAAAAAGAAAAAAATCAAGCACCAAATTTTCTCAGGAAACAGAACGTCTGCTTTCTGATCTACAGCACTGCCAGCCTCAGCAAAGAAGGAAGCATGCTGTCTGAAGTTTAAAGACTTGAATAAGTCTTTGATTAGAGCAAGCCGCTTCCCCATACACTAGGCAGTGAAATCAGAAAAAGTTTTCACTGCCAGGAGCCATGTTGTACTGTACATATTTTGCAAATAAGAAAATAACACTAAGTTATTAAAAAACAAAAAAACCAAAAAAAAAAAAAAACCAAAACAACACTGCTAGCAAAGCAACATCTTTCAGAAGATACTCTACACTATACTATGCAAAAGTGGTATAGCGTATACTAAAGCCAAAAGACAGTTAGGAATTACATACTAAACTCCAAAATGAAAAATAGAAAGCTACATGATTTCCCAACAAACACTCAATTTTCTTCAGAATTGCTAACAACCGAGTTTTATGAAGAATGTGCCTGCAGATCATAAGTCCTCCCTGTTATCCTCAATTCCCGAAGCAGTCTGTTGAACATAATGGTTTCTGGGAGAGTCTTCCTGAATCACCTTGGCGTACCCAGACTCCCTTTTCCATCTAAGACTTGTAGTAGTGCTGCGCCCTCTGCTGACAGTTTAGGATTCAGCAGCAGCACAGGATCAAGCTGCTTTGCTCCTGCTGCTAAGACCAGACCTTGGAGTTTACAAGGTTAGTCCCACCTGACTTAAACCTTCCATTGCACTATGTAAAAGAAGCTTCACATTGAGACGAACATCTCAAGATTACGTTTCCTTTCTATGCTGAAAAAAAAAATTATATGAAAGACTAAAGATAAGACTAAAAAAACCCCAATTCTTTAAAATATTTGAAGATTTATAGAACATCACTCAAGACTAACATTCAAATAGCATAGTGTCCATAATCCATACAGTTCTGTAGAGGAAACTTTCTTACATGGAAAACATGACCTTGAAATTAGTGTTGTAATTAATGGATTTCACTTCATAGCAAACACTTAACATGGCTAATGCTATTATAAAGAGTCAGTCTGCCTTCGTCAGTAAATGTAATCTCCCTCAATCGGCAAAGCTTACGCAGGAGTGACTAAAAAAATCCCACACACCTTGCCAATCATTCACTCTATGCCTAAGTAAAGATCACCTTCACTTTTTCATGTGGAACACTTACCTCTCATCTGATCCTGGGTTCAACTTAAATGAATTGTACAGAAGCAAAACTGCACACCCATTAAAGCTTCTGATCCTAGGAACTACTGAATACCACCAAGAAACAGAAGGAAGCTTCCCTCTGGTCAAACTGGCAAAGACCATTTGGACAGATTTTCTGCCTTTCCTTGTAGCTTAGGATATGATTCACTTCCTCAAATCATCTGGGAATTTTACTTAACCATTTTCCTTCTATTCTAGGACCTCATTTACTGACACTGCCAATCTTTCTAGCTCTCTTCCTGTCATGCAATTAGGCTTGTGGGTTTGGATTTTTCCACAAAAGGGTTTTACATTTGTTTTAGGGTGGTGGGGCTCAGGTTGCTGTTCAGGTTTTCACAGGGCACAGTGTTTATCTAGTATACTCATTCACACCAGTTGTAGAAGATAATTATAAAATTAACTCCTCTAATTATGTTATTTACAATGTTGCTGTAAAGGTGGTGAACGCTCACAGCCAATGGCCATTAACCAAACACAACTGGTATGGAAAACTGAAATATACTTTGGGCCCTTGCAACTTAAAGCCTGCTGCCCGATGTGGGAAGAACTGACCTAGTTTATCTGGTGCTTAACAAGCATTCTTCTTGTACAGATTCTTCTCTCCACCCTTACAATTGTATACCACGGTGCTATATATTGGCTGAAGGTCAAAGTTCTTTGACTGCTACACTGATTACTTCCCAGCTCCCTTGCTGCTTTTTCTGTCCTGCCAGGTCAGTACAGATTTTACACCGCTTCGGATGCTAAGCTGAAAAAAAGCTGAAAAAACAGCCACCAGGTGGCAAAATAGAAGTCACGCAGCCTCTTTTAACAGTCACCTATGATTGTTTTCAGCTATTGTACCAGGATTCCTAATGCAACTGAAGTAGCATATTAACGATATAGTTCTCCCATACTTCTTAGAGGACTCATGTGACTTATTAAATTAGCATATTAATTATAATTACTCTTTGGAGTATTCAAGGCATTTTTATTCACAAACCTATCTCAAACATGAAACATCCTATGTATAACCCCTTTTTACGCCTCCCTCAGGAAAACTGCCTAAATACATGCTCAAACCTCCATAGGAACAAGTTATATTTATACACTATTTAAATATCATAATCTGTTAGTATGCTTTAACCACTGCAGTGTTCAGTAAATGTAGCAGGCATAGCACTTTATTTAAAGCAATATTATTCACTTTTAAATACTTGATGTGTTTGCAGTTCTAATGCTTTTTACCAATACCATGTAAACAGGTCATAGAAAACAACAATAACACACTTGAGGAATAGAAGCATGAATGTATTATTTCTTGTGATTTCACTGAGTGTTTTTGCTGTAAGTGTTCTTTCATCTATGAGGTCAAACCACTGTCTACTTGAGTATAAAGAACACAGTATTTCCCTGCATGCTTTATTTATCGTGTTTCTACTACTTTCTACAGAGCTTGCACAACCCACAAGCTAACAAAACCATGAAAACACAAGCTTGAGAAAGCCAGTTCAGCTACAGCACGATTTGGCTGATGTTGCACGTATCCTTGCCACCAGATGTATGCACTTAAAAATCTCATTTTCCAGAAACAAATTTCTACCAACCTACTCTTTGAAGGAGGGAACTCTGGCAGATCCCGACGCTTAAGAACTGAGGTTTCAGCTGGACGCAGACAGGCCCTGGGGACTCCCCCGGGATCAGGTGGCTTGCAGACTCTGAAGTTCAAGACGTTTACCCTCTGGTCACACAGAGACGTGAAAGGTGGAACGGTGATCGCCCCGTCTGTTCCAGAGACGGATTTGAAAACAGGATTATGGGATCATAAATACAGGATCAGACTGCTTCCCCGTAAACTTCAAAGGAGCAAAATCTTACGATAAACAATTTCCTATGCAAAAAAGCGTTACCCTAGCCCTCAAGAATTAGAAGTCAAACCACCTCATAAGGCGGCACCACCGAGGTCCTGTCGGGCTGCCCTCACTCAACATGGCAGCCGTAGCCTCACCTTCCTGCCAGCCGCCTCACCCCTCGTCCAAGATGGCCGACCTACAGCGAGCGAGGCAGTTTGCCATCACTCAAGATGGCGGCCGCTTCCTGTAGCGGGGCAGCCATTCCCGCGGCAGCGTTCCTCGCTTATTTATTTCTTCGCGATCTCGCGGCCGTTGCTGGGAGTGACGCCGGTTCCAAGGGCGGTGGCAGCGCGGAGGCTGACGGGAGGAGCGGGGCCAAGTGGGCGGTGGCGGCGGGGCGGGAGGCGGTGGCCGCCGGGAGGGGGCCGGGCCGCCGCGACGCGGTTCCTGTCGCCGTGACATGGGTTCCCCCTCGATGGCGGCTGCCGCGGGAGGCCTCAGGTAACCGGCCGCGTCCCCGCGCCTCTTCCCCGCCGCCGCCATGCCCGCCGGGGCCCCGCCGCCCGTCGCGCAGCCCTCAGGTAGGACGCGAGGCCACGGCCGCGTTCTGCGGGTCGCCGCGCCGGAGCGGCTCGCCGCCTGCGGGCCTGGCCGGGAAGGTACCCCGTGCCTCGCGGAAGCGGACGGGGCTTTTTCTGGTGCCTGGCCCCGTGAGGGCATCGCCTCTTCGTCCTTCTTTCCCGCGCCCGGGAGGAGGGCGAGGAGAAAATCTCCACGGTGCTGCCCCGTCCTTCGCTCCCCTCGGGGGACGGGACCGCCTCGGAGCAGGCGGCCGCCTCGGGGCTTTGCCCTTCGCCGAGCCCCGCGGGTGCGGAGCCGCCGGGCCGGGCCCGTCGTGAGGCGGCTCCCGGCCGTGTAGGGTGTGTAGCTGGGCGCCGGGGACCTGCCTTCAGCCACTAAGGTCACTTTTTGGAGTGTCAGTCGCTGAAGAGGATGTGCTGGAGGGAAGTTATCTCGTAAGATTTTTATTTTTATTGTAGTGCTGTTCTAAAATGGGGCAAAATTGGTGAAGCTCCAGTGCTGATGCTTCGGTTTGCTGCTGTAAGTGGCTCCCTAACAGACCGCGGTGTTCTCAGAGGGGACGATTCCTTAAAACAGGGAATACGCCTTCAGGCGTACCTTCAGGGTGTCACCGAGGTGGCAGCCCTCCATCCAGCTTCAGCACTGCGTAGAAACTGAAACTTTGGCGAGTTTAATGCTCCTTGTGAAGTGAACCTCCGCTCATTAGGTAGTAGGAGACGCTTCATCAACAAGAGCTGTGCTGTGGTGGTCGTGTAAGTTCTGATTTTGTGCGTGGCTTACAGCATGCTGTGCCTCATCACAGCAGATTTCTTCAGCTGTGAAGTTTGTGGCAAAGTGAGTGTGATGGATGTTGCTTTTTTAACTGGGCTCATCCTCAGAGGTTGAGCATAATTAGAAGTACCTCCATCTTGGTTTGTTCTCTGGATGCATCAGCCAGACTTGGAAAGCCAATTAGCCTGTTTTAAGCCTAAAATCATTCTGTTGGTGGTGCACCCAGAAGTCTGTATGCACACTCCTATGCCTAACACTGTTGGAGGCATATGTGGAGGAATGTAATGTTAGCTGGGAGAGCTGGGGGAAGAAATGAAGTACCTATGACAGCTGAGGGGGTTGGTGTGCTTTGTTTTTGTTTTTCTTTTTTTTTTTTTTTTTTTTTTTTTTAAGAAAGCATCCCTTTCACATAAGTGAAAACAACTAGCACAAATTTGCGGGTAGGAGGACTTAAATATAAATTTACCGTATAAAAAATAGTCTTCAGAAAAAGTAACGTGCTACGTTGGCTCCACTTCACATGATATTTGTATAAAGTATGTGCTACGTGACCTTCTAAGGTCATGTGAAAGTATGACCTCTTCTCTTGACTTCCTTAATTTGTTTATTAGTAAGCAGCTAAAGGATCTCAGCCTGAACGTAAATGCTATCTAATTCTTTTATTTTGATTTTATTGTTGCTGTGATCATGGTTTCGCTTAGCAAAAGATTTCATGAATCTATATGACTTAAAATAATTCACAGTGAATTGATATTTGTGATATGTATTTCTGTTGATTAAGGCAGGACATGATTTTATATTTGTAAGTAGGAGTCAAACTAGTGAAGCAATTTTTAAGTTAATGACAGCATTTTAACGCCTTAGTTACATCAAAATAACTCGTTCTGAAGCTCTCAAGTACTTTCAAAAGACTTGTCTTTCAGAGCAGAAATAATAAACCAGCTTAGACAGACTTCAGTCAACTCTTTGCCCTTTCCTTCTGAAATATTCATAGAGCTGTCCTTGCAGAAAGATAGCAGTATCAGTTGGAAAACCTGTGGTAAAGAAACTGATGCTAGATCTGGTTTTCACTATACTCTGCAGCATAATCATCTTTCAGATACTTATTATCTTTTCCTACAAAATGTTCATTTCTTTCTGTGCCATTGTATTATCTGACAACTTAAACTATGTCTTTGTGATTGTTTCACTGTGATGGCATGCTAACCTTTTCACAGGGATTCAAAACACTCATTTATGACTTTTCTGGATAGTCCTCTTCAGAGAATTGCCTTTCTCAGATCCCACTTACCATCAAGTTTCTTGCTATTTTGTCTGTTAATTTTATTTTTCCTTTTTATAGAGAACACAATGCAAGCAGCTCCTTATGCACAAAAAAAAAAAAAAAAAAAAAAAAAAACCTTGAAATGTGCCTTGTTTGAAAATTGACAGTCTTGTTTGCAGTAGACTTTTTCCAGTAGACTCTCTTCTATGCTTATGTCTTCATCAGGTAAAGCTTTAGATTCACGTGCAAACGTCTCTAGAGGGACTGGTTGCAAAATGACTTAACGAGTCTGCTTCTGTACAGCAAATAATTTTGGGTTTTCTAAGTCCAAGAGTCCTGTTCTGGAAGAGCCACAAGGAAGGCAAATCCTCTTTTCTCTTTGCTATGTTACAAAGTTATGAGGAAAGGAAATGTGAAACCTTAAGTTCATTTATCTGTTGAAACACGATGGAAAATAGATCTTATTCTTTTGGAGTATTAGATGCCTTTCTTGTATTGTATTCTTAATATACCATAATATCAGTGGGTGGGATAAATGGCTGATAATGTCAGCTCTTCATAAGTGTGTTTAACTTTTTTGCCCGTTTTTCTTGCTACTTATGCTATTTGTGTTGAAGAAAACAAGCAGAAGTTTATAGTAATGGAGGGGAGAACAGTGGTTGATCTGCTTGTGCTGGAGTGTTCCCTCTGCTGAGCTTCGTGAGACCCTTTTCTGTAAGAGTGCACCTCTGGGCTGTAGTAATCTGCTCTTTATTGTAGTATCGATGAAGTGTGAAGGTTTTAGATGTAATGGAGAACGTATTGCTCTGTAAATAAACCTCTAGGAAGAGTTGAGCTTAGGTAATTTACTTTTAATACTTCTTAATCCCGTGTCTTTTGATCTTGATTTGGAACAGGCTCCCAAAGAACATGTTACAGGGTAACATCCAGAAACACATTTCTCACAGAGTCGAACGCTGTTAAACGAATTTGAGAAATGATAAGAATGAAAACATCCCGGTTATGTGTGACTTAGGCAATCTGTCTCACTTTACACATTCTATGGATGTGTACAGTACATTGTGCACAAATGCAGTGTTCCCACAGCACCAGATTTTAAATTTGATTGACTTCCCCAGCCAGGCATGTTTGCTTACATGAGTTGAAAGCATGCCTGTTCTTAGAACATCTTCCCCAATGCGTGTTTGCAGATTTAGATTCAGACAGTGTCTTTATCTGCAGCTGTTGAAGCAAAATCAGTTGATTTTGAGTGGAAAAATTACATGGTTTTCTTGTGTATTGTAATTTATAAATGATAACCTGGTCTTTTTGTTTTGGGGAAGCGATGCTGCTCTTGGTTAAGAGGAATGTCATGAATGAACTCAATGTCCACATTCATGTTTTTCAAATGTTTCTTGGATTCCATAGTTAAGTCTAGATGGAATAAGGAGAAGTGAAACAGCACAGCTAACGAAAGCTGTTTTTTAATCATTTCTTAATAAGTCTGCAGCATCTGCCTTATTTACATTTCATGTCTGTATCACCTTCCCTGTTCTTATCATCTGTGACGAGGAGCAGTGGCCAAGAGGTTTGATTCTGATAGAGGCTGAACTGTCTGAGGATGCCTTGTTTTCACTGCCTGCTCGAGGAAGGCAAGAGGTCAGGAAGATTGAGATGAGTGCCTGAATCCTGATGGAAGCCTCCTGAGTTTTGCTACTTCAATGCTGTTCTTACATACAGTGCTTTCTAATAGAAGGTGTCTGGCATATTCAGTGTTTGTTGAAACTGCAGTAATGCATAGCGGTATTGATTAATTCCAAATGTTGGGTGATGAGAAATAAGGCTTATATTTAGATATCCAGGATGGTTTGGAGGTGGAGAACGTTGTTTTCTCAACTTATATATGTCCGAGCAAAAACAGAGTCCTGAAACTCTTGTGCTGGATAATGGACCTTTTGGCTGTAACAACATCGGATTCAAAATCGAAAGCATTGATTTCTGGAGGCTTTATGAAGTAAACATTTTCTTTCTGTATGTTATTTGCTGGTAAGTTATTCCAAAAAGAAATGTAAACTTAATAAACCAATTTAGGAACATATTGACCGCAGCTTGGAAAATGACTCTAGATTGGATTCTGTTTGTAGGAATGCTAGTTTAACAGATTTCCCTCATTTACAGCTGCCCTTCTAGAAATGAGTTCTCAGGTGCATTACAGAAAGACCGGAAATCCATTTTCCATTGTTAACAAGGCAATGAAAAGGCAAAGTTATAAAAGAAGACAGCTTTTCTTACTGCAAGGCAACATCTTGCAAAGTCTAAATCTAGTCTTTACCAAGATAGTTTTGATATTTGTTTGAGGAATTCCCTTGCAGAAAGGAGCTGAATGTTCTTGGAAAGAACAGATTCTAACAGCTGATAACTTGAACCCACCTCCTTGGCATTGCAAGCTTTTTACTGCCAGGCATTTCAAGTGATGTTGTTTCTGTCATGAGGATCTTGCTCACGCCATCTCTTGTTATTTTATGTTTCTTTATGGGTTTTGATGGGTTGCTT